TATTGGGTCGGGTTCTTCTGGGGACGTTGATCCACCCGAGGTCCTACAGCCGCTTCTGGCCGAATTCGGGGATGTTTTTCCCGATGAGTTACCCGCGGGTCTCCCACCTTTGCGGGACATCCAACACCATATTGATTTGGTGCCTGGCTCTTCGCTTCCTAACAGGCCGCATTATCGGATGAGCCCGGCCGAACACGAGGAGTTGCGTAGACAGGTGGAGGAGTTGCTGCAGCGGGGTGTGGTCCGTCGTAGTTTAAGCCCGTGTGCTGTTCCGGCCCTCCTTGTTCCCAAAAAGGATGGGTCGTGGAGGATGTGCGTGGATAGCCGTGCCATCAACCGGATCACGGTGCGCTATCGTTTCCCTATTCCACGTCTGGACGACTTGTTGGATCAGCTCCACGGTGCCACGATTTTTACCAAGCTCGACCTCCGTAGTGGGTACCACCAGATTCGGGTCCGTCCGGGGGACGAGTGGAAGACCGCGTTTAAGACGCGGGAGGGGCTCTTCGAGTGGCTTGTTATGCCTTTTGGCCTTTCTAATGCTCCCAGTACCTTCATGCGTGTTATGAATGAGGCCCTTCGGGATTTGATAGGTAAGTGTGTTGTAGTTTATTTCGATGACATACTTATCTATAGTCGTTCTTCTGCAGACCACGTACAGGATCTACGCTCGATATTGCTTGTTCTTCGGGGCGAGTCTTTCTTTGCGGCGCCTCGTAAGTGCCTATTTATGGTGCCTTCCGTGTTGTTCTTGGGTTTTGTTCTTTCGGCCGAGGGAATTCGTGTGGATGATTCGAAGGTCGCTGCCATTCGTGATTGGCCGAGTCCTTCGTCATTCACGGAGGCGAGGAGTTTTCACGGTCTTGCTTCCTTTTATCGCCGCTTTATCGCCCATTTCAGTTCCATTGCTGCACCGATCACTGACTGCATGACAGGCAAGTCCTTCGTTTGGACCCCGGCGGCCGAGGCAACATTCGTTCTGCTCAAGTCCAAGTTATCCTCCGCCCCGGTCCTCGTGCTTCCCGATTTTTCCCGTGCCTTCGAGTTGTCCTGCGATGCGTCCAAGGTGGGCATTGGTGCTGTCCTTAGCCAGGGGGGTCGGCCCGTGTCCTTTTTCAGCGAGAAGCTTTCGGGTCCTCGTTCACGGTACAGTGCGTATGATGTTGAGTTTTACGCTGTTGTTCAGGCGGTTCGCCACTGGCGGCACTATCTCTTCCACTGGGAATTTGTCCTCTTTACTGATCATGAGGCTTTGCGACATTTATCTACCCAGGACAATATCTCTGCTCGTCATGCGGCTTGGACGGCCTTTCTTCAGCAATTCACCTTTGTGCTGAAACATCGTTCTGGTTCTTCGAACAAAGTGGCCGATGCACTTAGCCGCCGTTCCCTTTTATTGACCGATTTGCGCGTCTCTGTCGTCGGTTTCGACGTGTTGCGTGAGGCTTATGCGGTTGACGCCTTCTTTGGGCCGATTTTCTTGCGACTGGCCGACGGCGTTTTTGAGGATTACGTGATCACCGATGGCTTTTTGTTTCGTGGGACCCGTCTTTGCGTCCCGGATTGCAGCTTGCGCCTCAAGCTCGTCGCCGATCTGCATGG